AGACCATACAGCGGTTTCACAGGACAAGTTCCACTCAGAATAGGCCTCGCCATGGTCGACTAAAGAAGTTGAGTGCAAGTGTTCAACGCCATATCCATAGATTGTCTTTGGGAAATAGACGTATGAGTGCTGCCAGCATTGCATGGCTGTCATCACAGAAGGGAGCCTCTTCTAAAGATGATGCATAAGAAAGCACACAAACAGTTTGCTGAAGACAAGCAAACTAAGGACATGGATTACTGTAACCATGACCTGTGGTCCGATGAGACCAATATAAACTTATTTGGCTTAGATGGTGTCAAGCGTATGTGGCGGCAACCAGGTGAGGAGTACAAAGACAAGTGTGTCTTGCCTACAGTGAAGCATGATGGTGGGAGTGTCATGGTCTGGGCCTGCATGAGTGCTGCCAGCACTGGGGAGCTACAGTTTATTGAGGAAACCATGAACACCAACATGTACTGTGACATACTGAAGCAGAGTATGATCCCCTCCCTTCAAAGAGTGGGCCGCAGGGCAGTATTCCAACATGATAACGACCCCAAACACTACCTCCGAGACGACCACTGCCTTGCTAAAGAAGCTGAAGGTAAAGGTGATGGACTGAGACTAAGAATATTTGCACAGAAAAAACTGTGTGAAGAACTGTGTTTGTAAGAAAAATAAAGTTTTCAAACTAGAAAGACTGTACAAGACTATTTTCTACAAATGAAAAAAGCACAAGATACAATGTTGCAAGCACATGGCAGATATTGGCAAGTGTCCAGATCCAAGTCCAGAACTGCGAAGCTGTGATTTACATACAAGGAAGTACTTCCTATTTGCCAATCTGTTAGAGCAGTGTTTCCCAACCCAGTCCTCAAGGCACACTTACCAGTTCAGGATTTAGGGATTACCCAGTTGTGTCTAAGGTGTTTTTACAAAGAAGAAAAAAACCACCTTAGACACAACTGGGTAATCCCTAAATCCTGGACTGGTAGTGTGCCTTGAGGACTGGGTTGGGAAACACTGTGTTAGAGAATACTTTCTTTTTGATACTATTTGATTGAAAATATCTACTTGATTTAATGTTAGGGAGTACTTCCCATTTGTGAAATCGTTAGGGATTACTTCCTGTTTGTGAGACTGTTGGGAAGTACTTCCCATTTGTGAGACTGTTAGGGAGTGCTTCCCATTTGTTCAACTGTTAGGGAGTACTTCCTATTTGTGAGACTGTTAGGGAGTGCTTCCCATTTGTGAGACTGTTAGGGAGTACTTCCTATTTGTGAGACTGTTAGGGAGTACTTCCTATTTGTGAGACTGTCAGGGAGTGTTTCTCATTTGTTCAACTGTTAGGGAGTACTTCCTATTTGTGAGACTGTTAGGGAGTACTTCCTATTTGTGAGACTGTTAGGGAGTACTTCCTATTTGTGAGACTGTTAGGGAGTGCTTCCCATTTGTGAGACTGTTAGGGAGTACTTCCTATTTGTGAGACTGTTAGGGAGTACTTCCTATTTGTGAGACTGTCAGGGAGTGTTTCTCATTTGTTCAACTGTTAGGGAGTACTTCCTATTTGTGAGACTGTTAGGGAGTACTTCCTATTTGTGAGACTGTTAGGGAGTACTTCCTATTTGTGAGACTGTTAGGGAGTGCTTCCCATTTGTGAGACTGTTAGGGAGTACTTCCTATTTGTGAGACTGTTAGGGAGTACTTCCTATTTGTGAGACTGTTAGGGAGTGCTTCCCATTTGTGAAACTGTTAGGGAGTACTTCCTATTTGTGAGATTTTAAGGGAGTACTTCCTTTGTGAGACTGTTAGTGAGTATTTACCATTTGTGAAACTGTTAGAGAGTATTTCCCTTTGCCAAGATAACAGCTCTGAGTCTTCTCCTATAATGCCTGGTAATGTTGGAGAATACATGGCAAAGGATCAGAGATCATTCCTTCATACCAAATCTCTCCAGATCCTTCAAATGTTGAGGTTGACGCTGGTGGACTCTGTGTTGATTTTGATGTACATTTTGGATCATTGCCCTGCTAGATTCAACCAAAGCTTTCTGGCAGTGGTAATCAGATCATTTAATATCTGTTGCTATATGATAGAATCCATGATGCCATGTATCCTAACAAAAGATCATTATCCTGCTAGATCCAACTATGGCTTTTTTAAGCTTTCTTGCAGCAGCAATCAGGTCATTTAATATCTGTTGATATATAATAGAATCCATGATGCCATGTATTCTAACAAAATATACAGTGCTCTGGCAGAAAAACAGCCCCAAAACATTATTGACCACCATATTTAAATGTAGGCATGAGGTACTTTTCCATATGGCTACCTGTCTGGTCCACCAAACCCGACTCTGGTGTTTGTTGCCAAAAAGCTCTATTTTGGTTTAATATGACCATAGAACAAGATCCTGTTTGAAGTTCCAATAGTGTCTGGCAAACTGAAGATGCTTGATTTTGTTTTTGGATGGGAGTAGAGGCTTTATTCTTGAAACCCTTCCAACCAACCTGTGGTAATATAGGAGATGTTGGATTGCAGTTTGCAACTAACTTCTGCAATGCTCCAGCTGTGATCCTTGGATATTTTTTGGTAACTCGACTAATCCTCTTCAGAGTGCATTGAGACCATTTAGCCACCAATCATCTTCCAAGACGATTCATAAAATTTTCCAGTTGACTGGAACTTATTAATTATTTGATGGTGTAAATTGACATTTTCAATGCTTTTGGTATTTTCTCATATCCCCTTACTATTTTGATGCATATCACAGCTATATTCCTTGGTCTTACCCATTGTAAGGGAATTTGGCCTATGTGTTACCTCATATTTGTTCCCCTGTAAAACAGGAAGTCATGGTTGAACAATTTCTTGTTCCTAGTCACCCAGGTGTACTAAAAATGTTTAAAGATCAATGGGAATATGTCACATGACTACATAGGGGTTCCAATAATTGTGCCACACAAACATTTAAAAAATATATTTTGGGGGGGACAAACCTGTGTTGTGTTTGCAATTGTTCGATACCCATGAGAGCAGAATATGTTTGTCAATTTTTAAACTATAAAGACAATTTGTCACAGCCTTCTTTGCTCACATCTACCAAGTGTGCCAATATAAGTGCAGGGCATTGTATATATGATTATTTTATGATTGCTTTAGATGGATAGGCTTATGGGGTAGCATTTTGCAAAAAAATTATTTATTTTATGCAAAATCTAAGAAGATTTGAGCATGAAAAAAACCCGTAGTAATAAGTACCAAACCTATCAAATGCATTAACATTATATTGGTGTATCCCTTTCATGATTATGATACCTACAGAGATAAAGCACACATTTTACAGTAAGTATGCAAAACATTTCTTCTGATGTTTGCATAGCTATAGCTTAGTTGGTTAGCAACAACTAAAATACCTGTTAAAATTTAGTGGTTGAAATTATTTTTTACATTGAGGGAAAACTCAACTTTTTGTTAAAAGAACATTTCAAGTACCAAAACCACTATAGTACACTACTGTGGTTATGGTGTTAGGATTGCCTTTGTACACTGTCACCCCCGATGTAAGCAGTCAAACTATTAGCTAATAATTTGACTGCTTACATTGGGGGTGGCGGTGAGGTCTCCCAAGCCTTCCCCAATGTCTCTGATAGCTGGATGCTCTCTGTCTGTACTAAACTCTGTGGTACAGGGCTTAGTTCATTGGCTGAGGGCAATCAATTGATGCTCTCAGCCAATGAGCTAGCCCTGCTTTAGGAAAACTAATGGCAGCTCCGAGCAGGATCTCACTGGTAGAATTTACTGGTGCTCAGCCGTCCAAGGTAAAAAGTCAAACCATTAGCAAACACTTTGACTACTTACATTGGGAGGGGTGCCAAGGGCGATCCTGGCACCACAACCACTGTACAGTGTGCTGTAGTGTGCTGTAGCTTTAATAGAATATCACAACATATCCTTCCTGGTATACTGTTTACATTTCTATAAACTTCTTTTGTCATAGGCCACCGGGTTTTGCCAACACAGATGCGTTTG